TATTATTGGAGCAGACAGACGGGGAGGAATAATAATAGGAACTGTAAACTTTGGAAGTTAACAGGAAAAATCATGTCGCCTCGCTGCATTATACAGGGAGCGAACACCTGTCTGCAAGGGCTGGGGGACAGCGAGGAATTTCACGACCACATTACTCAAGCTCTGAGTCACTGTAATGAGTGAAAATAAAGCGGCTGTGCCAGGCCCTGTACAGCACGTATTTGTGCCCCACCGCCCAGGCGGAGAGCGTTCTTGGAGAGCCGGGAAGCGGGAGGCAATCGGGAAGGACGGTGCCTGCTTTCTTGGCTTTTGTTTTCTCCCCTTTCCTTTTCTTATCTCCATCCGTCCCTACCTCTCTCCTCCCGTTAATCTAGGCAACGCTAGGGGACTCCAGCATCCTCCCAAAGTCTTTGCACGCATACCACAGCGTGGAATTGTTATTGCAGAGATGACATAAGAATCCAGACATAATGTTTAGCTCCCAGGTTGATTATAATGGAATAGGCAGCATTAAAAAAAAAAAAAAAATAATAAATGAAAGAAAGGAGAGAAAAAAGAGGCCGCCTTGGTTCCAAACCTGAGCCAATTTGATGTGAATTGCAGAGAATGAGATATAGAGCCCCAGTGATGTCATTTATAGAGTCTGGCCTTTTCTGACTCTGGCTTCGCTTTCAGAGCAGCAATAGTTTTTAACTTCAAAGAGAATATCAAGTGCTTGGCACGCTGCCTGGGAGCGGGTGGAGAGACGCTGGCCCGCACTCCAGGGAGAAGCGGAGATACGGATCTCTATCACATAATCCTCCACGCTACGGAGACGCGGAGGGGGATGCACTGCCTCCTTCCCTCGGCGCTTTCGCACCGCCGCTGCCCTCACTGACCTGGTTGCAAGATCTTATAGACCAGGTTAAAGCGCCAATTTGCAGCGCCAATTTGCCGGTCCAGCCTGGGTGATCCTCCTTGCCACGGAGGCTGTGGAGGTCACACCAGCAGAAGGCCCAGGACCAAGGTCTGTCCTGTCCTGCCAGGTGCAGTCGCTGGAGGGTGATGGAGCAGAGGCCAAGATGAAGACTCCTTTCCTTTACATCTTAACACGGGTTTCATCTGCTTAGACCTACTTAAAAGGGTAGCAAGGACCAGCAAAAGGCATCACTCACCGAGATAGCCCTGTGTTTTCTTCTGTAGTGCAGTGACGGGGCAGTCCTTGTGAGCCAGCAGGAGCTGTTTAAGCTGAGCAACTTCGTTCCTCAGTAGCGTAACTTCATTCTGAGATGGAAAAACAAACACGCACGTATGCATCACTCAGGCTCTTGACAGCAGCCTCTAGCGACGGCAGGCCGGGAATTTATGAGCCCTGCAAACTTAGAATTTGTTGTCTGATTTGAGATGCCTCTGGCTCAACGGAGTTTGTAGGTTTGGGGGAATTTAGCGTGCAAGGCACCTTCCCTCCAGCAGCCCCCACCGCTGGCTGGAACGCCCCTCGCTGTGTTAACCACCTAATCCTGGACATACATTTGCCTGAGCCCTCCCGCTAATGCCAACTGCTTGGGTGAGACACTCTGGCGTGCTGTTGGCTCCAAAGGAAAACTAAACACGGCGAGAAGCTGAGTGTGCAACCAGCCCAGCCAGGCCGTGGGGGCTCCTCCAAGCTCTTGGTATCTCTGTGAGCCTCTTCTGTAAAGCAGGTCTACTCCCCCGAAAACTTTATTCCTCTATTGAAATGTTTGGAGAATCAGCTGAAACCCAGTCAATTGTATTTCGAAATTGCCCGAGGAAACGGTTTCTATAATTATCTTGGGAAAAGAATAAAAATACCACGATCAGTGCTATTGAAAAAACCCCACTGTGCGAGTCACTGGCCAGCGGTGAAAGAAAAAGCCCAGAATGGACACGAGTTTGGTCTTTGCAGACCCTTCAATCCTCAGCCGACGCCGAGAGCGCTCGCAAGGGGGCTAACGGCAATGGAAGTGAAATTTGTATTTTTACACGTGCTGTGCTTCTGCCGGGCACACAGGGGGTGCTGCCAGCGAGCCAGGGAAACTCAGTTCTCCAAAAAAAAAAATCAGCACGGCTGCAGGCCGCAGCTGCAGAGCCTCCCTGCTCACCCCGGTGCCAGGTCTGCCGTGCAGGGAAGGGAACTGGGCCTGCGTCTGCTGACCCCCTGCCAGCAGAGAGCTCTCCCTCGAGCAGGAGAGGTTTCCACTCTGCAAATACAGCTGCTTCCCCGGGGCCCCTGCGCTCCGCTCCCGAGGCTGGCATCGCTCCTTGAGCTACTGCCGCGACGGGCAGAGGCAGAGCCCTTTCGAGGGGGATGAGGAGGGAAAAAAAAAAAGAGCATGAAGTGCTCTTCCCCCCACGGCCTGCTCAAGGCAGAGGATCAGGATGGAAAGCAGGGAGTGAAATCTAAGCACAGGGGCAGCGATCCCGCTCCAGAGAGCGGCACCCAAACGCACGTTGTCTCTGCAGCACGGGGAAGACGTTCCCTCCGGAGCGATGGTCCCAACGCTGGCAAAGGGCTGCGCTCAGCCTCCACGGTTACATACTCACGCTCAGCTGGATGTTCTGGGTCGTGAGCTCCTCTGCTTTCTTTTCCAGGGAAGACACCCAGAGCTTGCGTTTCTCAGCGGGACGGCAGCCCGGTTTCGCTCCAGGAAGCGCTGCCGGCGCTCGTCTGGGTCTTCGTCAACCGTGCGCCTCCGTCGCCCGCCGGTGCTGGGGGTGGGCTGGGCAGGGGAGACCTGGAGATGGGGTGTGTGAAAGAGGGATACTGAAAAGAAGCTCTGGAGCAGGCAGGCAGACACGCACCGGCGTAACCAAGGTTTGCAGAGGAGATGCCAGCTCTTGCGGCTGGGGCAAAAAGGGATTTGCTTTTGCAGAGGAGAACTGCACGTGGCGGGGACGGACCCAGGGCAGCCCTGGCCGCGATGGGGGAGCTGGGGACAAAGCCCCTTCCCCCAGGCATTTCTGGCAGCCCATCCTCAGCCGAGTCTGGAGCGCCCTGCAACCGAGGCTGGCATCGCTCCTTGAGCTACTGCCGCGACGGGCAGAGGCAGAGCCCTTTCGAGGGGGATGAGGAGGGAAAAAAAAAAAGAGCATGAAGTGCTCTTCCCCCCACGGCCTGCTCAAGGCAGAGGATCAGGATGGAAAGCAGGGAGTGAAATCTAAGCACAGGGGCAGCGATCCTGCTCCAGAGAGCGGCACCCAAACGCACGTTGTCTCTGCAGCACGGGGAAGACGTTCCCTCCGGAGCGATGGTCCCAACGCTGGCAAAGGGCTGCGCTCAGCCTCCACGGTTACATACTCACGCTCAGCTGGATGTTCTGGGTCGTGAGCTCCTCTGCTTTCTTTTCCAGGGAAGACACCCAGAGCTTGCGTTTCTGACGGCAGCGGGACGCGGCAGCCCGGTTTCGCTCCAGGAAGCGCTGCCGGCGCTCGTCTGGGTCTTCGTCAACCGTGCGCCTCCGTCGCCCGCCGGGGCTGGGGGGGGGCTGGGCAGGGGAGCGCACCGGCGTAACCAAGGTTTGCAGAGGAGATGCCAGCTCTTGCGGCTGGGGCAAAAAGGGATTTGCTTTTGCAGAGGAGAACTGCACGTGGCGGGGACGGACCCAGGGCAGCCCTGGCCGCGATGGGGGAGCTGGGGACAAAGCCCCTTCCCCCAGGCATTTCTGGCAGCCCATCCTCAGCCGAGTCTGAAGCGCCCTGCAAACTTAAGGTGTGAATCCACGTGGGCTCTCTGAGATCCTGAACCCAGTGAACGTGTGAGTGTCAGGGGAATTAGTTAAATCCCAAACTCCTACAGCCAGCTAACGGCACGTAACTAAGAGCAGAAGTTTCCTCCCCTCCGTGATGAGGAGCTAACGTAGTAAAGGACCATGGGCAAGGCAGAGAAAGCAGCCTTCCTTTTAATTTCACTTAAGGGGCTGTAAAAAGCACTTCACATTGCAATGACTTAGGAGATTCCCGCACGGCCAGCGGCCGCGTTATCAGCTGACGGAGGGCAACTCCCAGCTGCAGGGCTGGGAGCGCTTGATCCCGCGCTCTGACGCACGTAACCACGCGCGGTGAAAGCGCCATCTCCACTGGGGTTCAGTGACTCCATCTGGGTTCAGTAACGGGCCGGCAGAGCGCACGTTACAGGTTTTGAGCGGGTGATTTGCTTTAAAAATTAATTTGGGTTAAATTTTCCCTGAATGTCTTCAGCTAAACACGCTCTCAGAGGCAAGCGGTATCAAAAAGATTTCGTACCGCCGCGCATTTCCCGGGTTTTATTTCGGGAGAACAAAGGAAAAGTCGGCAAGGGCAAACGGTCCTGCAGCCACAGCCTTGCCGGCGCTTCTGCGAGGGCTCTGTAATTACACCGCCACAATCGGGGAGTGCAGTTACACTTCGGTACTCGCTGTCAGGCAGCATATGGATATTAAACTTTTGGAAGCCTATCTAACTGACGGAGCAGGTGGCGATCCTGATGGAAGGCTGGCATTTGGTTAGCTGGCAGGAGCCAGTGGAGTTGATTGCCTAAGAGGGGAGCATTTAACCCCAGTAATTGAGCCGGGAGAAGAGAGGGAAATATTCTTTCGGAACTCCAGACCTTGTCAAGCAAATTAACATGTTGCTGAAGTTTTCTGCCTGGTGGTGTTTGAGAGAGCATTGGTGCTCAAGTGGCACTGAAAAAACAAGGTTTTTAACCCATTCTGCAAACCAGGAAGCTGCAAGATTGTTCTCCTCTTTCCCCAAGGCCCAGAAACCCGCAGCACCTCCAGCCCAGCCTCGCGGGAGAAGCGGCAGCAGACCTGTGGCTGAGCCGGGGAAGGGGCATCAGGGTGCTGGACAAGAATCTGACTCTGCTCTGGACGTGCGGTCACCATCGTGCTGGCTGAGCCCACCACCAGGTTGCTGCCATTCAGTGAGGAAGATGCTGTCAAGCTGGCCTTCAGCCTCTGTTGAAGGAGAAAAAAAGGACATCAGTGGACCTGTTCTCCATGCTGTTAAGGCTTTAACCAGCTCCTCTATCATCCAAGGAGCCAGGCCACGAGGGAACAGGCTCTTCAGGGACTGCGGCTGATTCAAATCCAACCGAAAGCCATCACCATCTGGCGTACCCAAAGACAGACAGCGGCTTCCAACTTAGGCCCAGGCAGACAGGTGTCTGCATCCCAAAATTGCTACTGCAACTGGCACGGATCCGCTCCCCCAGCTGGCAGGCTCTGCAGAAAGACCACGGACTGAACAGGCTGCGGAACCCAACTGTCCTTGAGCACCCACAGAGGGATCCTTCTGGGATGGAGAAGGACCTAGGTGTGATCAAGACCGTGTCTTGCATGTTCCTTCCCTGGGCAGCCAGGCACAGGCCAGCGGGGCAGGACGGCTGTTTCATGCCTCAGGATTTAAGATCTCTCACCCCACTTGTGGCTCCGATCTGCCCACGAATCCTGCAGAGACCTCCGCAGGGTGCAACGGGAACAGTGACAACGCACCCTCAAGGGCGAAGAGCATGGCTCTAAGAGGTTTGCAAATGTCTCCATCCCACCTCAGCCAAAAAACAAGGGGCTTTCGCCGCTCTTTGTTCGCAAACTTAGGTTTGCTTCCCCCCGTCTGCATGCATGAGCCGTGAAGAGCCAGGAGAGGAAAATTCTTCCATAAACTTTTAGCTAAAAAGATCTACGTGAAAACCATTTCTAGGATCCTTGGATTACAGCACAACAACTCTTGGCTCTGCCTTCCTCAAGCCCACCTCCAACCCATCTGTTATCTTGGAACTGGAAGCGCCAGCTTTACAAAACAGCCGCGTTTAGGATGGGGCTGAGGTTTGTCTTGACAATAGCGTGCCTGCTCTGCCTGCCAGAGCCGCAGCGCTGATTAGTCTAATATTCCTGGTGGCATTTCCAACACCTGCTCTCGGTGCGGGGAGGCGCTCCGATGGCTGCGCAGGATTTCGGAGAAGCAGTGGCTCTTCACGGAGGCTGCAGGGAAGAAGCCTCCCGACGGAGCCTCTTCTGGAGGCGCCAGTGAAGCCTTAGGGACAACGCCCTGGACGTGACACCCTCCCCGGCACGTATTTGGCCACTTACCATTTTGGCTTCAGAGTGCACGGGAAGTCCTGATGGTGAAATGGACCCGCTGCTGTTGATGGGTGGCCCAGGAATACCGGGAATGTTCGGCACCATGGACATCGGTCGAGCCAGCTATCGGGGAGGAAGCAACGCATGGGTTTTAGAAGCTGAGGGGCTTTCGCAAGCACGCTCCGCAAAGCGGCTCCGTAATAATTTCCCAACCAAGCACATTTATAAATCTTGACAAACGTTCAGCGTTTAACTACTGCCATCAATTACGCCTGCTGTCACTGAAGGCCAGCAGCCACTCCTTTGGTGGCCACGGTGGCTGTTTCGGAATCACCCAGCCATACCAGCCTAGCGCTGAGGACAGGGAGGAGGGCAGCCCTAAAGCCTCCCTTCCCTCCCAGAGGGCTTTTCCTCACCAGTACAGGAGAGCAGATGGAGAGGGAGGGTACGAGATCCCTGCTGGTTCTCTGCCTGGCTCTACTGCAAAGCTGCTGCAACACCAAGGGCGAGTCACAGCATCCCCTCCTGAACATGGAGAGCTTTCTCCCTTCCCAAGGAGGGGACAAACCACAATTTGCGCTTGCTTTTACAAGCCACTCAGCTACGCTGTTGCAAAGCACCATAGAATCATAGAATCACTTTGGTTGGAAAAGACCTTTGAGATCATCGAGTCCAAACGCAAGTCGTGTTTCAAACCATCAGGAAGGTGCAAAGATGTTTCCCTGCCTGCAAGCTACGTCGAGCTGCCTGCGGTCTGCCTACTTTGACGTCAACATTCCTGTTACCTGAGGCGGAAGGTTTTGGCCATTACTCACTCCAAACCCAAAAGACATGCCCAGCAGGACAGACAGGATTCCCACGGGCTGCTTGGTTGGAAGCTGAAGCGCTCAGAAGCCCTACGAACCACCCAGCAGGCAAATCCGCTCCTGAGTTCTGCACCACGGAAAATTCTCCGTATGCAAAAAGCCCCAGCCGCAAGGCTTGATATTCAAACAGCTCTTTAGCGCGCTGGCGAGGTTAGGGTGGCTTTCCTGGCCTGCAAAGACCAACATGTTCTCTGCAAGCTCGAATGGTTTCAATTGAGGCACGCTGTTCCAAATGGAAGCAGCTAATCAGGGATCCTACAGTTCCCAGCCCTGGATCAATGGCGTGAGCCATCTGTCCAGGCAAGGCTTTGTTTTTTTCCAGACTTATTGCCCTCTAGTGTGATCGACATGTTATTACTACCTTGCCAGAGCTGGGCCCCCTCCTCCTCCTCCTCCTCTTCCAGTCGTATCTTGCACAGAGGGGGAGATATATTTTAATTTTTACAAAATGGAAGTGTCTGCATATATTTGGCAGGGGAAAAACACTGTCCCCTCCTCTGCCGCGCAGAGCTGCGTTGGAAGTTTCTCTCACCGATATAACAGAAGGCATCTGTACAGGAGGGCCTGGGAGGACGGGCATAGTCTGTCCGTTTGCGAGCTGCACGACAAGTGGAAGGGAACCTGTGGGAGACCTGGAAAAAAACCCAACAATTTAAGTTCTCATGGATTATTTCAAGTTTATGCTGTCCCGGCAGCCCCATGAGCTCAAGGGCAGAAGCACGAATTAATTCTGCTGAGTGGATTTGGGCTCGTTTTCCCATTTCTGAATGGCACGTTCTGAAGGGGTGGGTGCAAAGCCGAGCCGAGCACGTGTTAAGGTAACTCAGCCTCCCGCACACTCGCTGCGTGGCAGCCACCACGGGCCCACGTCCCACCGAGGTGACCCAGGCTGCCACTCCTCGCTGATGGCCAGCGTTACAACGTGCCCTGGTTAACTCCTGGGCCACCAAAACACCACGGCTGCCAAAGCCCCGAGACCCCAGGCCCACCTGAATAGACAGAAAAGCACATCCAGGGGTTGCTGCAACTCCTCCTCGGGGAGATTAAAAGTGCAAGACGGGGGATCTGGGCTCCTGCCTACCAGTAAGTTCTCAGCCCGTGAGCCACGTCCGCTGCGCTCCCACGAGTGGGTTTGCAAGGATTTAGCTTTCCATTAACACGCACTTCTGACTCTGACTCCAGAGAGAAAGCCTCCTAAAGATGGAGTCGACGCAGGGCTGGCTGGTGTCTGCCCAGACAACAGCTCTGGGAGACAGGAACGGCCCCGCTCGCTGCAGGCTGGGGGAGGAGGCGATCGCGCCGGAGCCTAGTTGTGACAAATTAAAAATACCAAGAACTTTTTCCATTGCAGATCACTTCGCAGGCAAAGGCGGTGTTTCTGCATACGGTGACAAACAGGCACACATCCCCCTGCCTCCATTTCGGAGCATCACAAACCTCACCGTGCTCCGGCTCTGACCCTCCGGACTCAGCCTTTCTAGGAGAGCAGAGGAAAAGCCGGAGCTGATCTGCTCCGGCCGAAGGGAAGAGGAAGGAAACCGACCCTGGCAGCAAGGGCTGATCTCCTGCTCCTCCTCAGCTCGTGTCAGAGCAGCAGGGAGCCGAATGGAGGCAGAGATGAGCCGGGAAGAGAAGAGCAGAGCTGCTGGGAGCCTGATTTTTAGGGAGGGAGAAAAAAAATTTGCTGCTGCCTCCTCTGCTGAGCCCAGGGAAGGGGACGGATGAGGCTGGGCTGCCTGGGATCCTCAGAGGAAGCCGCACTGGCATGGAGTAACGGCAGGGTGGGGAGAAGCAGGGGATGTGGGTCAGAAGGGGGGGAGTTCACCGTGCCAATAACTCAGGCTGGAATTTTTAAGGCTGCCTTGGGAACGCGAATGCTCGCCTCTCATTCATTTCTATTGGGCATCCCAAATCCTCCGGGCTGCTTTGAAAATCCCAGCCTAACAAGCTGAGTTACAGGGAGGTCACAGCCTCCCCTCCATCTCTGTCACACTGACAACCCCACCGCATCCGCAGTGGCCCTAACGCAGGGACCCTCGTTAAAGCCGCAGCCCAACCTGCATAGCACGCATTCAACCCTCATGCCCTAGGAGGGATCTACCCCCGTGGGCTGCAAAGGGCACATAAAATCGTATTAAAGCCTGGCTTACTCCAGTTCTGATTTTCTTCATGCCTCCCAAGTGCAAGGGGACTCGGTTCCAAACAGCCCCGTGAGTGTCTGCGTGTGCGGTTACAGAAGGAATAAAATGCCCTTTCAAAACCCCAGGACAATCACTTAACCCCTTAATGCCTCAAGACAGGATTTAAAACTTTCCGTCAGGAAGTCTGGATTGATGGTGCCAGAGGGTCAAAGCAAAAACACACACAAAAATATGAACCGACAGCCGAAAAGAATGGCCTGGTTAATGTAAGGAGCCAGCCTCAAACAAGGGTAATTAGAAAGAGGCCAGGACCAAGGCAAAAAAGAAGCATCCTGACACCAAAGAATAGAAGTGGGGCTAAATATACGTCTCCTGAGGGCTCACTGTAATGCGTTTCCTGCATCCTTCAGGCTCCTTCCTTTTATGTGCGGGGCCAGAGCTACCTAACAGTGTGGCAGGCTCGTAACCACCGCAGCGAGTGCTCTGGAGCCTCCGATCCAGATTGTTAAAGGGGCAAAAAGGAGCAGGTCATTAGATCTGCTGAAACAAACAGCTCCCGAGGCAGAAGCTGACCATGAAGGAGGCCAGCAGGTTGCAGAAGAGGTTACACTTCAGAGGCAACAGCTGTCTGAGAAAATCCCAAAGCCATTAAAGATCCAGACAATTTCCTACCGTCGGTTTAGCTGAGCTCTCTCCACCGCATCAGGCTGCCAAAGCAACTTGGGAGTCCCCAGTCAGGCCACGCTCCCACCGTAGACAGCGAGCGTCATGTCAACGTGTTTGGGGATTGGGTTTAATTTCTCCCTGCGGTGAGTTTTGCCTCGTTTCGTTACACTACGACAATTAGTTCCTGCTTTCTGCACTTACACCCCATTCTGCTTTCGTAGACAGTGCTGCAACGAGGCCCTTATGCCCAAGCAGCCGCAGCCGGAATCGCGGCACCTCAGTTATTCTGACAATCAAGGAACTTATTTAGGTACCTAATTACTGCCCAGGAAGCCTGACGGTACGGGAGGAAAACCTCGGCGCACGTGTCCCTCCTCCACACTTACCCGAGCTGTCTGTTGGAAGGGGGAGCCTGGGTAATGACAGAGGTTGGGGAAGGCAGCGTAGGGTGGAGCGGGTCGTAACCCAAGTGTAGCGGCAGCGAGCCTGGACGCACGATGGTTGGAGTAGGCGTAGAAATGATTACGGGCTTGGAGGTGATCTCCTGAAGAGGCTCAACAGACAAAAGAAGACACGCTGTTACTTATTAGCTTCATAATCACCCGGCTGGCTCTTCCTTCTGAAGGCTTAAAAGGAATTTAGTCAAAATTAAGGCACCTTCGCCACAGAAACCGAGGCACGGAGGGGAGCGACATACCCAAAGCCACACTTGAGTTGATGGCAGTGCAGGGGAACAGGGCACAGACATTCAGACTCCTGCTGCCTGCAGCAGCCACTGGGAAATAATCCCCCTCTCCAAATTACCGCTCCAGCCCCCAGCGGCTCCGGGAGCGGGAAATTATTCAGATGGAGACTGTGTCACCTGGACCAATCTGCTCTGAACCACCAGCCAGCCCCCCCCAGGACACAGGGAGCCAGTCTTGGAGAAGATGGCGTTTACTTGTTTGGCACTTTGGCCCTGCCAGAAAAGCGTTCCCAGGGTGAACAGCAAGGCCTTCTGCATTAGCCAAATCCACGCGGAGACTTAAGGGCAGCAAATGTGTATTTTAACGAACAAGCTTTCCTCTTTCTTTCTAAAACGAGGGGAACCTCACAAGGCCAAATCACACCTTGGCAACCAAGAGGAGATAAACCTTGCTCTCATCCAGAGGAGAGACCAATGTCTGCGTGGGGCACGGTCGGGGAGCCCTACCTTCTCCTTGTTTTGGGGCGACTGCGGGTTAGATGCAGGGCTGTCGGGCGGTGAAGAGTCCACCTCCACCGGCTCTTCCTCCTTTATCTTGATGTCCGGGGTGGAGGGCAGAGACATGTCCAGGGCTCCGGCACTCTACAGGAAAACCAGCCACGGATTGAAAGGACAATTAGCTCATATTGTTTGTGAAACATTCGGCTGCTCCCAGAGGAAGAGCTACAGCTCTGAGCTCTTGCCAAATTATTATTATTTATTTGTACTGAAGTAGCATCTGGGAGCCCGAGGCGGAGAGCGGTGCCGTGCCGCGCCGGCCCCGTCCAAACAGAGACGGAGGCCTAGGAAAGATGGTCTCTGCCCCAGATGGCACCATTTTGTGGTTTCTCAGTAACACACACACACGATTCTTTCCATGGGTTAGGGTTTGGGTTTTTGTTGGGTTTTTTTGGGTTTTTTTTTCATAAAAAGGCTCTGCTAAGGAGAACAGGTAACAAAGCCAAATGCCTGCGAGTTACAGAAGGCACTTTCATTCACAGAAGAGCTGTAAAGCATTGTATAAATCAGCCTGAATTATTTTATTACCCGATTATCAAAAGCAAACAAAGAGCCATGCAAGTTATTAAATATCTATGAGCGCCCCATTAAAATAAAACCCAACCATATGCCTGAACCTGGCAACTTGCCACCACCCTGGGTTCCAGCAGTGCCACGTGCCCCATTTTAACCAGTTAATGACTTGCTGGGGAGGGGAAAAAGGCAGGGCGACAACAAGGGAGGGGGACTAAACTGAGCGGCCACCTCTCCCCTCCCCAGACCCGGAGGAAGGGGGGACCTGGGAGAAGATGGCGTACGGGAGGGACCGGAGGAGCACGCAACGGAGCGAGACTCCGACTGCAGGATGCTGCATTCCACCGGGCTCCGCCAGACCTCGCAAATCACCCGGTCCCTCCCTCCGTCCGGGGCAGGAGAAACTCTCCTTAAATCAGTCCTGACGGCTGTTTGTCCAACCTGCTCTCCCTCCCTCCCTCCACGATCCATCCCAGCGCATCTTTCCTTCGCTCGCCCGACCGCTGACACTTTGTCCTAGCATCTAACCTAAATCTCCTCCTTTGCTGCATTTTAAATCCTCTCCAGGGAGGGAAAATTGCGGCAAGCGGGTAAATCCGGGCATCTACGGATGCTCTCGCTGCTCTCCAGTGGGGTGCGGCTCCAGCGCCTCCGCTCTGATTTACGCAGGAGCTTTGCTTGCGGTAAGCGCAGTAACCATTTACCTGCCCTCTTAAGCAGAGGCGTAGCACTGGGAATCACAAAGGAGAAGGGATTAACGTGCAGGAAAGTTTCAAACCACTTAAAGTGCCTCCAGGGAAGCTCCTGCCGTGCCTATGTTTTTAATTAACATGCTGGTGTCAGAGACCACCCTTGGAACTGGAGGACAAAACACAACAGCAGCAAGCAACCGGGCTCAACGGCGGCCAAATGTCGAAAGCATCTTAGAAATGCAGCAGGCAGCTCTGGCCAGGTTCGGTGAGCAACAAGCCATCTGGGCCCGGGGACCTCGCCTGCGCAGGGATTTTCTGGGAGGGATAATGCTTTCCCTAATGCCTGAAACCACCCCAGGCTTCACGCCGCCCCGATCGCCTGGCTGCCGGCAGAAATATTTAGACTGCAGTCATCCGAAAGCAAAAAAAAAAAAAAAAAAAACCCACACAAAAATGAAAACACCGAACAGCCTAAGGATCTGAGCTGCGGCTATTAGGTAGCGCAGCCCGGGAGATGGGTGGTCTTCCATATAAAACAACTGGCTAGACTGTGGGCTGCGCAACCGTTCAGATGTGAAACCACAAACGAAAAGCTACCATCTTCTCCCCAGCGCTCGGGGGTCTGGGCTGCGGAGAACAAAAGGCAGGGAATTCAGAGCATAAAATGCCACGCAGCCCCGACGAGGGCCTGCAGCATACCAATGAGAGAGATCAATTTATGCTTTAAAGAGCCCTGTTATTAGGAGAGCGGGTGAAAGACAGTTTTCAGTTTTAATTCTGAATTCCTCCGTTCCCCATCTCGGTGAAGATTTACGCGGCTGTGCTCCCGCAGTTTATTTCCGAGCAGCGCCGCTGACTGTGAGCGTATGTACATACATATATCAATTTAGTAAATGTATGTGCCAGTCTAAGAGCCCAATACGCATCTGCTGCTCCTCAGAGCCTGGAAAGGGGCGGGGGGGGGTGAGGGGAGAAATGTCCTTAATTAGCTGCTATCTGACGAGATCCCGTTGTCCTTCAGACCCTTGCGCTCCTGAGGTTGGCAGGGGCAGCCTGAATCGATACCGCTTGCAGATGAGGGAGCTCTTTGTTAGAAAAAGCCTCGCTCCTCCATGGAGCCCCCCCCCTCTCTATTTGCACGTACGGCGACACACGGCTGAGCTCGGTCCCTTCCCTGCACCTTAAAGGCATCGTCGTTAAGGATCCTGAACCCCAAGGAGGCTCTGAGTGAATTTTTGCTCAGATCCTGAGCGTTGAACAGAGTCCTGCTCTTTTCCTCCACCCCCTTTCCCAAGGTGCGAGGTATTTGGGGTACTGCCTTTTTTTTTTTTTTTTTTTTTTTTGAGGGAAAACCCAAAAGAATAAAAAAAATCCGCTCTCACCAGGCCTCGGATTGCAGGATAGCCAGCCAAAGTCACCCGAGTTAAAAAAATAAAGTCCCATGTAAGCCAGCATATTAAATCCAAGACCACACTTAGCTACCCTCCAACATATGCCTTTCATCAGAGCAGCACCGTCCCCTCTCCAGCCCCCACAGTGTGCGCCCGGCTCGCTTTTACGGCAACGGTGGCCTTTGCCTCTTGCCTTTTTCTCGTCATCCTCCGCGGCTTTCTTGAACTCGTGCTCAAAGGAGCTGGCCAGTTCATTGAAGAGTCCCACTTCTTCGCAGTTCTTCAAGAACCTAGTTGGGGTCGGAGTCTGATCTGTTTGGGTTGCAACACCAAGCACCGGTTAAAGAGAGGCTAGAGAATTCAGTTTAACCACTGTAGTCCTCTCCGGGGACCCCTAGCAAATGCGGCCTCTTGTTTTATGGAAGCCTGGATGCTTTTCCGCTAAGGCGTGGTGTCGTGTTTGCAAAGCAAGTGACAATTCACGAAGGGGAAAAACAATTTCTTGTGGATTTTCTTTTTTTCCCCCCCTCCTCCGGTAAATGCTGTTTAAAAAAAAAAATAATAATCACTGCAGCGAGAGGCGTGCAGTGATTTCTGTGAAATGCCTGCCTTTGGGTCTTGCCTTGTCCCTCCCACCCCAGGGTTTTGCTTGTCCTCGTCTCAATTGCTGCTGCAAGGAAGGCAAATAGTGGGGTTCAATCACCCCAAAAAGGCAGATCTTAAAAATAGGGAGTGATGAGAGGGGAAACGGCTGATCGGAGCAGCTCCGCCGCTGATGTGGAACAGTCGCGTCCCTCCCCGCGCCGGCTCCGTACATTAATGCGCATCCTAGGACAGTCGGCTACGTGGGAGTGCTAATAATTACCACCACTGTCCAAAGCAATCCCTCTGGGGCCCGTTTGCCACCATATTAACACGTTGAGTCATGATCTCTCTGGCCATCACCCAGGCTATAAAGCAGAAAGAAATCTCCCCGCTCCCAACCAAGCCTCTTTTTTTTTCTGCGTGACGTTAGGTCAGGAGTCCAGGTACTAGCGGGAGCCCAGCACGAGCGCATTACACCGAAAGAATCCATCTGGCAGAAAAACTACATAGATTTTTAAGCACAAAGGGGATCCCTGGGATAGTTTAGCCTGACCTCCTGCATAAAACATCGGCTGTTTGGCAGGGATGCTCCCTGTTCGAGCGCCGTAGCTGTGCTCGAGCTGAAGCGTCTACGGAAAACATCCCATTTGATTTCAAACCATCCAGTGGTGGAGTCTTCCCCAGCCTTCGGGAAGCAACTGCGGCGATGGCTTCGCCTCGCTGTCGCAGAACTACGCTTCGTTTCCAGCCGGACTTCAAACCCTACCTCTTGGTTTTGTTAATAAAGCAACGGCCTCCTCTGGGTGCACTTGGGTTCCCCCCAAATCTCTCTTCATTAAACCAAGAAACTTTGTCAACCAAAGATCTCGGCAGGAGGCTGTTTTTCCAGCGCTTTAACGACTCTCCGGGCTCTTTCCAGACCATTCCCCATTTAGCAATGTCCTTCTGAGCTGCTCACGCCAGCCCGGGGCCCAAATCTCCAGCAGAAGTTTTCACAACACCACAAAGCAAAGCTGTATATAACCCCCCCTTGTCCTACCCTTCCCCAATTCCTATCGCCTGGAATTGCAGTAGCTCTTCTCCTCACAGCATCACCCCAGAAGTGCACGTTCCCGTTTAAATAAGTCTCTCCGCTGCCAGCTATAACCGGCAGAGAGAGAACAAATTCTTTACGGCTCTCTTTAGCTTAACCGCGGAGTTACGGCAAGAGATGCACGCTGAATCCTCCTGCTCGTTAGCACACGGGCTGCTGCCCCGGGCTCAGCACAAAGCAAGAGGGAGGGAGAAGACAAGAAAACCCAGAGACAAAATGGTGGCTTAAAGAAAAATAGAAAAAACAACCAAAAAAAAAAAAAAATAATAAAAAGGGCATTAGGAATGTAGGGCAATAACGTCCTAGATCTTGTTGCTCAAAGCCAGCGTGCTTTATAGCCCTCGCAACCCTCCCCGGCAGCTCGATCTGCCATCGAGATCTCAAGCCCGTGTTAAATACGCTGGTCTTGCGCTGACCACAGCTAAATAAGTTTGTGGGTTTTGTTTTTTAGCTTGGTGGTTTACCCTGCAGCAACCCACCGAGCATCAGCCCGGAGATGGGGGGGGGGGCAGACCCACCCTTGCTGCTGTTCCCTGTGCTAAAACGGAGGCGTTTCATCCCACCCAGGGTTTTACCCGTGAGAGTTGGGGTGCAGGAGGAGCCCCCGGGAGCTGCGAAGATGAGGGCTTTTAATGCCACGTCCCTGTTAGAGCAGGTGGGGCTCGGGCTGGAGGTGGGACCGTACCCCAATCCTGCCCTCCCATCACCGCCTGGCCCATTTACACCCTAGGTTTATCAAGCAAAAGCTGATCCTCCCGCTCTGCGCCCTGTTTAGAAAGGGGGCAAACTGAAGGAAAAAAAAGACCTTGAGGAATCTGAGGTTTCTTTTCCTTGCCCCAAATCCTTCGCCATCAATTCCCATTAGCCTGATTGGAAATTAATTCTCCCTCTGGGAGCCTCTTTCGTCTCTGCGAGCCCTCCCCTGGGAGAAGCTTTCTGCCCTTCCCGTAAAGGCCATGTGAGCTCTTGGACGTCCCAACCCACGCTTTAAGAAACCAATTGATTTGCTATTTCCTCCTTCGACACCGAATTTGGGCTGGAGATGAACCTGGGAAAAGGGTGCCAGGCTCTTGCAGCGGACGCTTCGTTTCCCCTTAGGAACTCTCAAGGCTTCAGAAAGCCTCTCCTCCTCGTTTTCTTGTTCTCAGCAACAGCGGTAACACAAACCTCGTGCCCTTTTACGAAGCCCGAACGAAAGGGGACTGACAAGGCAGGAGAGCGTCCGTAACCGGCAACGATCTGCTGCCAGACAACAATATACATGGGTTGGTTTTTGGGTTTTTTTTGTTGTTTTTTTTTTTTCCCCCCCAATCTTATAAAAGCTGCATTGACCGTGCGCTGCCAGAGCGCCTCATTTGGGCTCTGTAAATGCAGTAGCCAGCGCGCTCGATGGCGTTTTAATTTATTAACTGCTAGCCTAAAAGCTCAAGAAAATTGACACCTGGGCTGAGGAGAGGAAGCTGGGTTTGTCAGATTTTGTTCATCGTCCTCAAAGCACACGCAGCAACGTGAAAGACCTTTTGTCCATAAATCTTCCAGCCTTAATAAAAAGGGTGAGAGCTGGAAAAAAAAAAAAAAAAAAAAAAAAAACACCAAAAAAAAAAAAACCCCAACCCAACCAACCCCCACAAAACCTGATACTACCATAAAAAAGGAAAAAAATAGAAACTTGGAAGCCTCTGGCTTTCCTTTCCTCCTGATTAAATGCAGATCACAAGAGCTTTTTATGGGAGGTAGAGACGTTTTTCAGTGCATCTGGTCCCTGGTATTAATCTTGCAGTCATGCTGTATTAATGTGCAGCGTTTTCAGAGCTGGCCTGGATTGAACGCCACATACCTGCTATGATGACTGAGTCGGTTCGAGCGGGGCCGAATTTCAATGTCATCTCATGCTTGTGTTTATGAACCGCCAGGTGGTCCTCGTTTGTAAACCTCTGAAATGAAACAATTTAGAAAATGGTGAATAAATGCATTTTGTGTTTTACGGGTACATCCTGCAAGCGGGGTGGGGGGAGAGAGCCGCCCCGGAGAGCCACTGGAACGCAATCGCTGCTGAGCGTTAAGCAAAACCAGAGCGGGACAGATTGTTTGAGAAGCGGTGTGTGAACACATTGCTCAAAATGAAAAAGCCATTACGGGGGGCTTCTGGGGAACGGGGGACAAATATTTTTAATAATCCCTTTTTTTTTTTTTTTTTTTAAAGCGGCGGGGCCACGCGGTGACTGCAAGCAATCTAGGAAATGCAAATCCGCCCCGCTCGGTAAGATGCGCCGCTTTATTGCTGGCTAATGAAGGGATGAATTAGGCGCTATTTAGGGGTCAGGCAACTTTTTTTGGATGGCGTGCAACAGAGCTGGCATCCGCCCGGCGATTCAGGCCGTGGTTTTATGGAGCAGGACGGAGGCGGCTGCCCCGATATCGCTGTCCGGGGCTCTTTGCGACGGTCGAACCCGGCGGCGGGGGGGGGATGCATTTCACGTGCTGTAAAGACGCTCTCTGAAATTCCACCTGCGGGAGAACTGCAGGATAAAAACCCACCCGTGACGGCTTTAGGGATGTGCTG